TCTCTCCCGGGGCAGGGGGAGGAATAAAAAGCGTATCTCTTGCCAAAGGGAGGCCCTGTGCTGTAGCCAATCACGGATGTTCTGGAAAGAATGTGCCTTCTTTTTACACAACTCTTGAAGCCTCTCTGTCTGCAAAATCATGTTCTCCAATGTCAAGCAAACATAAATCATCCACAGTTTGGCTAACTGGTCTTTCAACTAACCTCTGCCCAACTTAAGCTCCTGAAATGAAAATGTACGGATGATTCTTGTTTTCTAACCTGTTAGATGGGACTCTGCACATATATAGAACATTACGTCTGGGTGCCCCGGAACGCCTAGGCCTTCATGAAACATTATTTACATCTGCTCCTGAAGTTTTCAAGTGAACATGAGATACAAGTTCGAAAAAAGAAATCTTAATGAAGTGATCTCTGATTTAGTGGCAGCACAAATTTAAAAATCTTCATGTGACTAAGGAAGAGCTTGTCTAGCTTGTCTTTAGCGAATTTTGTGCTTTATTGTTAACTATTTAGTGACGGGTCCCAATGATGTGCAAACAGCAGTTTTCCTAATGCGAAAAATAAATTGAACATATTTTGCAAGTATAATGTCTGCCCTCTGCCCTACCAAAAGTGATGCAAATGATAATTTCTCAAGATACCGCATGGGCAGCTAGTTGGAAATAGTTTCTGGTCAGACCCAATATGCAGCTTCGCAAAACTGCACAATGAGTTTCTTTTCAGAAAGGAGGGCAGAGGGAAACACTAAAATCACAGTGCATTAGGCTTGAACGCCTCTGTCGATATGTGCATGTTGAGAGACTAATAAAGTGGTAGGGCAGTCCCTAATTCAGTGTGGCTTCTGTTCATGCTACACTCAGTGCCTGAAACCTTCCACTCTTAGGGAGCCAGGGCCGTGTAACTTAGTAAGTGCCTTAAGGCCAAAATGTCATTTCGCATTGCGGGGATTGTGAGTTTGCTGTCAGGCAAGCCTTCTGCCTCCCTGGGGCTAATTCATACCCAGCCATGGGGGGTGGGGTGTGTGTGGTGTGTGGGTGTGTGTGTGGGGTGTGTGTGTGGTCTGTGTGTGTGTCCAGAGCCTTCCTATTGTGAGGCTGTCAGCTGCAACTTTGAGAAGTGAAACCTGTGAGAGACTGAGTCTTAGAAGTAGACAGCCCAGAGTTGGAATATGTTGGATGAGATGGCGAGGGGGTGGGGTGGGGGACGGGACACCGGGAAGCAGGGGATGGGTGAGAACACTGACTTATAGGCTCAAGCCCATTAGCTACGAAAACTCTCCATCTTCTTCGGGATTCAGTCATTTCTTTCGTAAAGTTTGGGTAAACGTGAACTCTTGTCAGATCAAGGTCATCAGAAGGTGTCATTTACTCTAGAACTTGAAGGCTAAGTAGGAATTTACCCGATAGAGAGATTAATTTCAAGCTGGGGCTAACATATGAGCAAGGATGCAGAGGCACAGGGAGCTGGTCGGGGAAGTAAGTCAGCGTGGCTAAGTATCCACAGGGCCACCAGCACTAGGGCTGTAAGAAGGTGGGCTGGAGAAGTTGGAAGAGAAAGCCTTGGCCACCTGACTGAAGACGGGTCATTATCGTCAGATGAAAAGTCGTCAGGTGGAGGATGGGTTGGGAAGAGGCATTTAGCGTATCCCTCCTTTCTGTGCTAACGACGACACCGTTCACAACTGTGATAAGTACAACAGGCTCTTCTTTTCCTATGGCCCCCAACAAAATGGCCCAGGTGTTTTTTTCAAATGTTTTATTCTTTGGGGAATGAAATTCAAATTATATCCTTGGAAGTAGACAAAGGCTAGTGTGCCTCCAGTGAAAGTCACTTGGAATAGAATGGTTAACGCCTTGAATACTACTCTTAACTACTTAGTCTCTCCAAATCTCTTAGACATAGGTGGAAAAAACAAACAAGCCTAAAAGTATCCAAGCAGCTGAATCCAGATGCCCAAAATGAAACCCAAATTGCTCTCCCTGAGGGCCGGAAAATACGGCATGCCCTGCTGTGTCCACTGTGGGTTAAGGGGAGAGGGGTTTCCCATAAATCATCACAGGTCCGGTAGGCGCAATTGTACAGTGATAAGATTATAGTAAAGTCATAGAGAGCATGAGAGTTAAAGGAGAGATTGGAATAAATGGAGTCAGACACAATTCATGGTAGCATGCTCACCTCAGCCCGCTTGATGGTCCTCGTGGGGGGAACCTGGCCACAAGAGCAAGAGCAGCCTCGGGGACCAAGAACCAGGGAGCCTCTGACCCCAAGGACGGGGAGAGCTCCCCGGGCTCTGGAGAGAGCTCCTTCTTTATTGCTAACCATACATTATATCACTTTTGGGGGGACATCTTTACAGAATCACATGTCACAGGAAGGGGCAGTACAATGGGCATACACATTGTAGGAAGGGGATCTATGATAGGCATAAGTGTAACAGGAAGGGGATGAGCTAGGGGTGTGCCCATAGGAATGGGAAGGTCTAGGGGTATACATGTGACAAGATGGGCGGACCCTGGATTCACGGTTTCAGCCTAACCTTGGTCCTCCTTGGGCGGGTTTGACCTCTCTGGTATCTCCTACAAGGAAACAGACAACTACTATCCTTATCAGAAGGGAGTGGGCTCTACTTGTTGTGGGATAAACAGTAGTGTCTGCTTGGTCTAGACAGCTGATAACTCTCAGGGAGAATGACCCCCAGTCCAGTCCTGATGACCTCCAAGTGTACAGTCATTCTCAAGCAGCTAAGTCTGGCATATATTTGGGGGAGACAACTTGGGAGAAATCCTTCTATTTCCCACAGTCCACCTCCTCAGAATGTAGCCGCTCATGTGAGTGCCCAAGTGGTTACAAAGGAGAAAACTGAATTCCACCAGTGCACACTAAACAATCATACGGAGACCGGTATTGCCAGCCCATGTGAGTCCCAGGGAGTGCCCACCCCCCACCCCCACCCCTTTTCTGTTTGATTGATAGTAAGGGTAGGAAGATTCTTGGCCAACAAGTCATCAAAAAGTTCAAGGGAGAATGGAATTTAAAGATAAGGGAATTTTTACCTGACCTTTTCGAAGGCCCCTTGCCTTGGCAACCCCAGTATCCCAATGGGCACATGGGTCCTCTTGCTAGTCTTTGTCCAATTTAGTCACTCGGTGTGGATCAGAATGACCTTTCGCTGTCCCTCAAAACTTCTCAAGTGATCAGACTTTGAAGGTAATAGGAGTTCCAAATTATTTTCACGGTGGTATCATTAATGAAATCAATATACATCTTATCTGGGGATTAATTCTCTTTATAACTTTCTTCCTGGACTCCTTCTGCTTATACAGAGCACATTGATTATGTTCATACTTCCTCTTTTATGGTTAAGCAATGGCCTTGGATAACTGAGTCACTATAATTTCATTGGCCAAGACGGACTGTCTGACTTTCTTTCTCTAATGGTTAACTGCCCCTGGTAGAGTTAGTCATCCTCGAGCACTTTGATTTCATTTCTGATACATTTGTCAAGGTATAATTACTAATTTACCTTTTGGGTGGAAGCACCATGTTTTTTTCTACTATAAAGACAGGCCACAATGCTTGGCACTCAGTGGATATTCAAGGTCTGTTAAATTCAAGGAAGCTTCCTGATTTTTATAGCCTGTCTAATAGGCAGCTTTTCCAGAGGTCCAGGTGATCAGAAACAATGGGCTTCCCTCTGTCCTAGAATTAACATTTCCTGACTCAAGCCGAGAAACGTATTTGCAGAACACTTTCTAAACCAGGTATGCAATTGGTAATTAAAGAAAACTAGGGGACCTGGAATGTAGGAAGAAATCCCAGGAAATAGTTTTGAGCTAGGTTCTAAATGAGATTGACCGCTGTCACTCTGGGAATCCTAATCATTTTCCTGAGCTTTCTTCCCTGTGAACTGCAATCTATCCGAAGTCCTAGAGCTGTGTCGTGACCACACCCTAGTTGCTGTGACTGATGAATCATAGAAACCAGAGGAGGGAAGTACTGGTGAAATCATCAGGTTTGTTTCCAAATTAGGGAGCAGAGCGTTGGTTGCTGGAGAGGACAAACCTCTCATTAAAAAAAGCTGGTGTGGGGGGGTGGGGGAAAGTTAGTTGGGGGAGAGAGGAGGGGGATGTGACCAGAGTTGATTACAGCAACTTTCACATCTGTTTTGCATTTTCCTTCCAACAAGCCTGACCCCGCCCTACTGGCAAGCAATCAGCATTCTTACCAAGGGCCTGGAGTCAGGGAGACCAGACGCCAAAATCTCAAGGCTTCAATGAGAATTCTACTTCCAGAGTAATGACGTTGGATTAGGAATCTCTCGGTGGTTTTAACTGAATCTTAGAGATTTTGATCAATTTATGTTTGTCTTTCCATGTGCTTGACATGAACTCGGATGTCATCGATACCTCCAAGTACACTTCAGGTTCACCTTTCCTCCTTTAACAGCCATTCAGACCAATGTTTAGAGCTCAGGGGTAAGGCATCTGGAGGGCTCCCCGCCTCCCCGCCCCCCATTCTTATTTCATTTTTTTCTTCATTTATTTATTTTTTTCCTGTTAAACCCTCCCTTTTCAAGGCCTTAAAGGTCTTAAGAGCCAGCAAGGACCTTGGGTATGCTCTGGGCTCAAACGTTCACATCTGAGCCGCAGAAACAAAGATTAAGATGTTAAGCAATTCCAGATGGGCCTTGGGGTGCATTGTCCACTCTCAGTCCCTCCCTCTGTGTATCAGAGCCTCTCGGCGTTTATCCGGAAACACTCTCCCCTCCTCCTTCAATGTTGTCATTCTCTCCTCCTCCTCCCCTCTCCTGTATGCCCTTGGCTTTTGAAGAAATGATAGAACTGGGTTTAGACATCGTGTCAGTTTTTCATGCTAACCAAGCCTGCCTTCAGCACACACACCCCCCCACAACTGGCCCCACCCCCCGCCTACCAACCTCCACACAAGGCCTCCCAGGTCATTGGCACACAGAGGTGTGGGGACACCCTGGGCACTCACTGTTCACCATGCTCCTCCTCCTTGGCCTTCTCCTTGTTGGGTGCTGTTCCAGCTGCAGACCCTTGACGTCCACTGATGACACCTTGTCCTGGTCTGCGGCCTTCCTGAGAACTCACAGCCTCCTTTACGATGTAGATTAGCGCTGCCTCAACTTCTGCTGCCTTTTTTTGGGTAGGGGGCAGAAAAAGAGTAATGCATTTATTACATTTGACAGAAGAGTACAGAAAGGTCAACATAAAAATCATTTAGAAAACAAACAAACAAACCGATGTGGTTGCAAATTACCAGTTGCTGTCCGGTGGATTCTGGTTCCTGGTCACTTTGTGGGTGCACAGTAGGACTGCTCAGTCGGTTGCCATGGCGGGGACTGTTAGATCTCTCTGGGGAGAGATAGACCTTGGTTCTTGGCTCCACGCGAGAAAGAAGTCACGCTGAAGCCTGGTTTGTGATCCAAGTGAGTGTTGTGCGCATTCGAAGAAGTTTCAGGTTTACATGGGCACCCGCAGGGATCCTCCCAGACCTGCAGCCTGCCTGGAAGCTGCTCGTTGAATCACGAAAGGCTCTGAGCTCCTGCCTTTTCAATGATTCTGCGGGGAGGCGTGGTGGACGACCCCTGGTCGACCCCATTGACTGAATTGAATTCACCTGGCTTCGGAGGGCCAATCCAGGGCGTTAACAGGCATCCCAGCCCTACACTTGCCTACCTAACAGGACCTTTGAGAAACACATCGCAGAGGTGTCCCTGGATGGGCGAAACCATCAACCTTTGGGGCAGCCGCTAAGTGTTTACCTGCTTGTGCTGCTGCTCCAGGATTTCAATGGCTCCTGGACGGCCATGACCTCCAAGCCATGACCTCTACAGCCCCAGCAGAGAGGCCAGGAGAGCGAGAGATTTATTTTTAACCAAGGCTTATATATCTCTGCTTCTTTTTTATTTTTTAAAGATCATTTTACTGGGGGCTCTTACAGCTCTTATACCATTCCATACATCAATCGTATCAAGCATATTTGTATATATGTTGCCATCATCATTTTCTACACATTTGCTTTCTATCTGAGCCCTTGTGATCAGCTCCTCTTTTGTCCCTTCCTCCCCCCTCCCACCCTCGGGACCCCTTAGTAAATTATAAATTATTGTTATTTTCATATCTTACACTAACCTCTGTCTCCCTTCACCCTTTCTGTTGTTCATCGCCCACCCCTGGGGTGGGGGATAATGTGCCAATCATTGTGATCCATTCTCCCATCCTTCCCGCCTCCCCTCATCTTCCCCCTACCCTCCTGGTATCGTTAGTCCCATTGCTGCTCCTGAGGGGTTTATCTGACCTGGATTCTGTGTGTTCTGAGCTCTTATCTGTTCCAGTGTACGTGCTCTGGTCTGGCCAGAACTGAAAGGCAGGCCTGGGGTCATGATAGTGGGGGGTAAGGAAGCCTCAAAGAACCAGAGGAATACTGTGTTTCATCAGTGCTGTACTGCAATCTGGTTGACTCATCCCTTCCTTGTGACTCTTCTGTGAAGGGATGTCCTAGTGTCTACAGGTGGGTTTTGGGTCTCTGCTCTGATCCTGCTCTCATTCTCAACAAAATGTTGTGGGTTTTTTTGTTGTTGCTTTGGGTCTTTTGATGCCTGTTTGCTGATTCCGTTGACACTTCATGATCACACAGGCTGTTGTGCTTCTTTCACGCGGGCTTGTTTCTTCTCTGCTAGATGGCCACTTATTTACCTTCAAGCCTTTTAGACTTGAATAGCCGGGCACCATCCTCTTTTTTCACCACATTTGCGTATGCACCCATTTTGTCTTCAGAGATTGTGCTGGGAGGGTGAGCAGCACAAAAAGCCAGGTTGTTAGAACAAAGTGTTCTTGTGTTGAGGGAGGGCTTGAGCAGAAGCCCATTTTCTCAGTGGATTGCCATATGAATATATATATAGGCCAATACCTCTATTTTTATGAATTAATATATTTCCATAAATATGCACCCCTATGCTTATACCTCTATCCATAGCTTTGCTTCCTAGATCTTTCCTCTGTTTCCTTTTACCTTCCTCTTACCCCACCACCATGCTTGACTTTCTTCAGCATCTTAGTAATTCCTCTCAGCCAGATTGCTGTTGCTCCAACACCACCAGGATCTCTACATTCTCCTCATTGTTGATTTTAGTTCCCTAGTTGTTCCCCTGCCTATGGCATTGTTTGCTCACTGCTCCCATCCCCTGTCTCCTCCTCCCCCCAAGTCCCTCCCCATGCCTATCTTAAATAGGTAGGTAAACCAACAATAACGGGGACAAAACAAAGAGAAAATGAAAGACCGAATAAAAAGAGAAAATAACAACAACAAAATGAAAAAGCATACATAAACCCAGGTCTGTCTGCTGACCTTTATGACTATCTTCCCACCCGTCTTGGGGGTTCTGCTCACTGCTCCCATCCCCTGTCTCCTCCTCCC